GAGCAGTTCTGGCAGTTTAGGCGAGATCTGCTACTGAAAGAGAAAAATGCTGATCAGCTGACCTCCGCTCTTATGTTCTGATTCCCTCACACAATTTTTCAGTTTTGAATTTTTCTTCCTCTTTTGACTCATAGACCAGTAAAAATGTCATTGACACCAAAAATTAAAATTTTGATGTTGGCAAAGATATTTATATTTTTTAAATTGAAAAATTAATTTAAAGCAACTACAGACGCTAGATGAATAGGATGGATATCGTCATTCATCATACTTCCTAAGTTCGTTAATCACTGCATTAAGACAATTTCTTTGTAATATAAGTTTTTTGATATGTTATGTTTAAATATACAAATATGGCATTATCTAATTAAATATGCACTAATTTACATACATTTTAACAGAAATCTGAAGACTGGAAAAAGCCAGATTCAAAATTCTTGTTTCATTTTGTTGACATTGGAGTTAAAGGCTTTTGCAGAAGCGATTTTGGATATCACTCTTTATTAGTCCATAAATCAAAAAATACTGTCAGCAGCCAGAAAAAGCAACATGTTTTAGGAATAAAATGTTATAATGATAAGTGAACAAACCCCTCTGTTAAAATCTTCAGAATATTGATAGAAATAAAACTGGAAAGTTTGGAGCATGTAAGTGCAAATTGGAAATTTCTGGCTCAGTGCATGAGGAAAAACGTCTTGGGTTACGTATGTAACCATGGTTCCCTGAGTAGGGAACGAGACACTGCGTCCTCTAGGGGTCGCTATGGGGAACGCCTCGTCGTGACCCGTGTCTGAAGCATACATTGAAAAAACACCAACTCGTTGGCCAGCGACAGCCATGACGTCACTACTGGTGCGACTGTAGTATAAATAGGTGCCGGGAGAACACATCATCCACTTCTTCGTCTGAAGCTCGCGTCCGAAGCATGACAAGAAACCTAGAGGACGCAGTGTATCGTTCCCTACTCAGGGAACCATGGTTACATATGTAACCTGAGACGTTCCCTTTCAAGGGAACTTCGAACTGCGTCCTCTAGGGGTTGCTATGGGGAACGGTATACCCACGCCACCATGCTGAGGGGAGTACATGCCAGAAAACCATTTTTGCTCATGTTATTCAGCTGCAACAGAATTCTTTGTAAAAAGACAGAGTAAATGTTTTACATCTAAATGTTTCACTTAATTTTTTTATATTGGATTTTTTATCTTATTGGGATCGAAACTAGGAATCGATAAGAATCAGAATCAATAAGCAGAATCAAAATCGATCAAATTCAAACGATACCCAACCCTACCTACGGCCAAAGGCCTAGGCTACATACCCCAAAAAACATACCTGTTAGGGCCAGAACTCCTGGGCCTGGGGTAGAGCTCAAGGCTTTGAATCAGGAATAGATTCCTTTAAGGGAATATGACCAAGAGCCTTGAATCATACTAAGTCTTGGCCTGTCACACAGTGGCTACCTCATGCTCTGCATATGCTGAAGGAACTGTCTCAACAGACCCCTAGTAGCAACACCCTGATAAAAGTGGGTATCCGGAGGATACAAGGTGGAGTGGTGCCCAAGGTGGAACCGGGGCTTGACCAGCTCAAGAAAGGGCACGAAGCTGCCGCGCAAAGCCCTCACCATACAGGATTTTAGAAAGAACGCAAAGTACTAGTGTGCGAACTTACCAGTGTGGATTTTAGAAAGTGTACAAAGACTTCACGTGCACACTTACCATAACATGGATTTAAAAATACCATTCTAAGGGGTCCTTGTGGCACTCTGAAGAGCAGCCCATAGATGGAAATGGTGCATCCCAAAACACTATGTTCGAGAAGTCATCAACTCGATCTAAGGTATAATGCTGGAGTGGCTAGCAGTAAATCTCTAGCCGAGGGAGCAAACACCCAGCTCTCAATTGAGAGGGGGCTCCTATGCTGGCACGGCTAGCAGTAAGTTACCTTAGCTGAGGGAGCACAACACCCAGCTCTCAACGAGAGGGGGCTTGACCTACAGCACGATCGTTAGAAATCAGAAGGGTAAGCGTACTGCAAGTTAGCCAAAAAACTCAGTGCATCAGAGAGGCGGAGGAAGGGTCTAGTTCGCCTGGATGCTGCTGGTTCCAGGTGATCTGGAAAAACAGAGAACTCAACTCTCACGTGAGAGGAGAACTCCGAATTCAGAAAGGAGTAGCGTGCTCATAGGTAACCCTTTGATAAAGGGGAGCACTGCTAAACACTACCACGAGAACAGCCCACGGAGCTAGGAATCCAACTCCTCAGAAGGGAGAGAATTCAAATGCTCGAAAGAAAACACCATGCTCACAATAACCCTCAATGGTGAGGGGAGCGATGCTTCAAATGTGTGTCAACAGAGACACACTGGCTGAGTGGAGCCCAATGTACCGGGGTCTAAACCAACTCAGAGAAAGGGAACGAGGCTAATAATGCGTAACCCTTACCATACAGGATTTCAGAGAAGTGTGCAAAGTATAACGTGCACACTTACCACTATGTGGATTTTAGAAAGTGCGCCGTGGCACGATCCATAACTTCCAAAAGCTCATCATACGCAGGGCAGGAGGATTGGGAAGGCTCATCCTTAGCTTCTTCGCCCTCCTCAGACATTTCCTGCTCTTCCTGGGCTGAACCCAGCTGAGCACTGGCCCCTGGATCAGACGATGTTAATGAAATAAAATCATTCTCCAGCGGCTCACTCTCGTCTAAGGCCGACGATCGCGAGAGGGAAAGCCCCTCTTTAAACTCATCGGCCAGATCCACCTGCGATCCCCACGAGCTCATTCTCCTCCGTGCCTCAGCAGCGGCAGTTCCTGAACCGTGGGAAACAGATGGCTGCCCCTCTTTCCTTGAAAAGAGAGACAAACGAGAGCGGAGCTTTTTCATTGGAAAACGCTCGCAGTGCACTCAGATTGCCCCCTCGAGGACATCGCGTGCGTGCTCTTCACCCAAACAAACAACGCAAAGATCATGTGTGTCATCAGATGTCAAATAACGACGAAATGGATGCACACATCCTCTAAACGCTTTGCTAGTGCTCGCCATAATGATATGAATAGAGATCGCGCTTACCACGGAAAAGCACGCTTCAAACAAAACAGTCAGTGAAGACGAAGAAGAGGATGATGTGTTCTCCCGGCGCCTATTCATACTTATAGTCACACCGGTAGTGACGTCATGGCTGTCGCTGGCCAACGTGTTGTTGGTGTTTTTTCAATGTATGCTTCAGACACTGGTCATGACGAGGCGTTAGTGCTACCCCATAGCGACCCCTAGAGGACGCAGTTTGAAGTTCCCTTGAAAGGGAACCTCATTTTGAGAAAATTGCCTTTAAAGATAGTGAAGTATGTTGATATCTATATTTAATGTTTACTCTCAGTTTTCTTTTCCCTTGTAAACATATTTCCTATTGAAGCAGGAAGTTTGGGAGCGCCAATCAATAGCCAATTGCTATTATGACTTCATGGGGTCAAGTATAATTAAAGTTGTAGTGTTCTGAACTAATAATAGGTGATAATGTGCAAGTAGGTCACAGAGAATATATAAATTAGGTTTGTGGGTTAAATTCTCCTTTAAGTTATGGTTGATGATTTTTTTCACAACAGAAAATGAGCTACAGAGCTTCTTTATGGTTAACTTAGCATTTTATGTAGCAGAAATTGATGCTAGATACGCAGTGAAAGTAATCTCTCAGAAAGAACCCAAGCAGAGGAAGCTGTTTCTAAGAGTCGATTCAATGCATGTGTAAAAAGAGGACAACTGACTGATGGTGATGCCTTCTCAACTGAGAAAAACATTCAGCTTCTTTTTCTCTCTCTCCATCTCTCTCCTTTCATTCTCTTTTTTTACACTTAAGAAGATGGAACAATTTATCATAGCGCTGCAATTCCGATAGCTTCCTGTTTATAATGCCAGCCAGTTCCTGCAGCTACCTTAAAGATGACTAGAATCTAAAATAATGCAATAAACGAATTAAATAACATAACATGTAACACAAAACACTCCAATGCACTTAATTAATAGTTAAAAAGGAAGAAACATAACATTTACCATTTTACATTTGCATTTAGTCATTTAGCAGACGCTTTTATCCAAAGCGACTTACAAATGAGGACAATGGAAGCAATCAAAATCAACAAAAGAGCAATGATATGCAAGTGCTATAGCCTAACGCAGTACACGTAGGTTTTTTTTTTTAAATTACAGTATATAATAAATAAAAAGAAAACAGACAGTATAGAGCAAGCTAATGTTAGAGGCCTTTTTTGTGCTTTTTGTTAACTGTATAATTAATAAAAAGAAAACATAGATACAATACAAAAAGAATCGAGAAGCTAGTGTTAGTTTTTTTTAAAGAAAACGAGCAGTTAGTAGGCTAAATGAATAGAGTGCAAGTCTAAAAGGGGTATTTAAAAATAAAAGGAATTAGAATAGAGAGTGCTAGAGTTAGATGGTCAAATAAAGATGGAAGAGATGTGTATAGTATTTTAGATTAATAATATAATATAAATATAATATAAAGAAACGTCATGGGTCTTGCAAGGATTTCTGGAAATCATGTCTACACTTTTAACTTAAGGAACCCCCCCCCAAAATGTTGACAATTTATATAATTTCAGCTTAATAAAAATGTAAAGTTAATACGTTTTCGTAGTACATTAGCATGAGCCCAAAACTTTTCACTTGGCATTTTAAAGACCATTTCTACTCCACCCTGTCCACGAATCTTTTTATTTTTTATTTTTTCATTTCGATACTGTTTTGTTTATTTATTTATTTATTTATTTTTGCTTTATTAATTCAATGCCACAAGACCTGTCCACGAATCTGTTCTTCAGCTGATGACCTGATGACACGTAACGCTTTGTATAATTTTTGAACATTAACTCCGCCCATACGGAGAAGTCATCACGCATGGCCCCGCCCACCAGCGTTGGCGTCATCAATTCAAACTGGTATCGAAAGCAGAGTGGAGCTCGTGTCGAGTCAGAGCGCAGGCTGCACCGAGAAGGGAGGTAGAGACTGTACTGCACGGCCTTTTGTATTTCGTATGAGCACAACGCCTTGATTTGTGAAGATGTGGACGGCTATAGGGAAACTGCTGCTTTTACATATGATACTCGTGGGGTTTCTGCTGGTAAACGGTAAGTGTCTGTTTTACGCTGTCAGTCCGCTGTTATGAATGTAAATAAATGATGCTGTAGAAACACCGGCGCAGCCGCGTGCATCTACTTCCTATGATAAGACGTTATTAGAGCGCTATATAACGTAACTCTCTTTAGGCAGCTTGTATTGTAAAATATTGCAATCTGATCAAGTATATCATGTTGTTCTAGTCCTGCCGTGTTTACTGCGGGGTTTTTAAGAAGAAAGCGATTTTTTAATGTAATTATAGTAGTCTTTACTTCAAAGATAGTAGTACACTACTGAAAGTAACGCAACTTTACTAACAATGAATGTGTCTAGTGCATCATTCAGATAGGTCATTGGTTGTCATTTCTCATAGACTACAATTATCATTTGTGATTATCATATTTAATGAAACCTTTCATTGCACACGTGCACATCGATTTTCCTGTGACAGTACTGCTTAACAGCTGTTAACAGATCTGTGTAAAATTGTCAGCAATTTCTAAGAATGTGCTAAATGTTTTTATAATGTCTTTACATGGCCCCTATTTTCAAAACGTTTTAGAATTTAAGTTTTTCAAGTTTTCAACAACTTGTGATGTACAATATGTGAATCTATAATAAAAGTATATGTAACATTTGTACTTTGTAAGTCACCCAACAGTTTGCTTTGACATCCTTTGGGGTAAAGTATAGATGTAACCAAATATTTAAGGTTGTTCCTTGGTTTGAAAACTTGATCCTTCCCAAAGTTTGGACCCTGCATTTACTCAGATCTTCTTGTGTGACAGGAAATAAACCGGACTGTGAAAGTGGTCAGTTTCAATGCAGGAACGACAGGTGTATCCCGACTCCATGGAGATGTGATGATGACGATGACTGCTCGGACAACAGCGATGAGGAGAACTGCCGTGAGTAATCTGAACCTCTTTTTAACAGGTGTCTTATGTAGCCTTGCTGGTATCCTTTGTTCTTCTTCAACCGAAACAGCCTATGTTTCCCAGTTGAAGTAGACCACTTACTAGGTTTTGAAACACACGAATAAACTTACCTTGCTGTTTCTTTGGAAAGACTCCCAACTGTCACGAGTTGTTGCTTTAGGTAACTTCACACTGGATGCTTGTAATCGCACCTTATTATTGTAATTAATAATAGTCACATGTATAAGTCAGAGTGTGATCGTGTTCTGAGTCTGCATGGCATTTTAAATGGGCCTATTCGAAGCATATTATTAGACACAGACATCCAGTTATTAGCTGTAAATGGATGTAGGACTTTGCAGGAAGGCTGACACAGTCAGGATTGCTTTTTTCAGGACCTGCTAATAAAAGACAAACATAAAAATCGTAATCAGCAAGTCGAATGACTTAATTGAGATGTAGGCTATAGCAGCGGGGAGAAAGGCACAACTGGCACAAAATGTAATTATCCCGATGTATTGGTCACGGTATTAATTGCAAGTGCAGTAATTATCCTGGTTAGCTGATTAATATGGTAAAGTGGAGGCACGGTGGAGAGAATATTTTTTACTTTCAAAACTGATAGAATTCAAACTTAACTTAAAAGTCTTGAAGTTACTTTACGGTCTTGCTATCAAGTGGCAGTGGCAGTCGCTCAGATCTGCACTGCATTCTGGGCATGATCCATATAGAAACCCAGAGTTTTAGTCATGTAGGGTTATAAAGGTCATACTTGTTGCTCTCGTTCCATGTTTATGGGTGGCATGTGCTTCCTACTAAGCTTTCCCAGCTTCACACGAATTAGTATGTGGGGCAGGATTGTTTAGCTACATTTATCAAGTAAGAGAAAGATATTTCTGCACCTTGAATTTACACACCTCGGGAATCACTTGCTACACAACAAAACCGGTGGTCTTTTGATTTTTGCTTATTTAGCTGACCCATTTGTATTAATTATTTATATATATGAAACCACCTGATCCGACTTAAATGATTTGAATTTGTTCCGATTTTATTTGAGAGAAATAATGAAATTATTGCGCTCAGAATTTTTCGTGTCATTGCCAACTTTCATTCCCCCAGGTTCAGGTTTGTCGCATGCACCTGGTGTTTTCTTGGCGTCGGTTATGCTCGTTTAAATGGATTCATGCTAAGGTGCCCTATTACACGTGGTATCTCCAGCAGGCAGGGTATCTGTGGGGTTTCTCCCCAGGTAGAAGCGCTCTCTTGGGCTGTCAGCGGGCTGAATGCTCCTGTCTCTCCTCTGGATGTTTTTTGCCGCAGACTTGGGCAGACATTGAATTAGAATAATACCTTAAGGATTGTGCTTTGCACTCCCCTCCCAGACACAACCTACTCACAGAATTGGCAGGATTCCTCTTTAGTTGCCCATGGAGACGGTAATAGCAACACTTCACGACACATACTGCTCTCTCTCCCTCTCTTTCTGTGTCTCTTTTTTCAGTACCAAATTCTAATCACAGGGCTTTGTGTCTGAAGATGAAGTGGGCTCTTCGGTAGAGACTGGCTTAGTGGCTATTTATGTGTGTCAGGATGGCCTTTAGTCTTAGATGATGAACGTCACATGGACGTTTATTATTACGAATCGAATCAACATTGATGAAATGTTGTGATAGTACTTTTTTAAACAGTGGGAACTCAAAACAAAAAAAAATCCTAAACTATAAAGTGTCTTTAGCAGGGTAAATGTACACTGTTGTAACGAATCAGCTCATGGGAAATATGAATAATGAATCATAACTAGTTATAATTAATTATGAATATTATAGATCCACTGTAGATATTTAGCTGACCTCTCAGGGTCAACTGTCTTGTCAATTCTAAGAACGTTAATTTCCTGGTTAAGGGAAATAACTTCCTTACTGTACAATTCTACAAAAGCTTGTAGCATAAATCTGCATGAATAAGTGACTCCAGTTATGAGCAAACAATGAACCACGTCAAGTGTGATACAAGTAAGGTTTTATTAACTACATAAACACTTAAACTAGTCTAACATACTACATAAACTGGTCTAACATACACATACACACACACGCATACATTTGGTATAGGAAATACTAAACATGGTAAGGTTATATATATATGTAAGCTGACAGGAGTGTGTTTCGATTATAAGCCTGCATAACAGTATACAATTTCAAAGACAAAATACACGATGACAATAATATACCCAATGACCTGAAGGATCATGTGTGTTCATTCAAAGAAAGGTTTTCCTATTAATTAATTAGCAAAGAAAAGTCCTTCCCTTGTGGATTTTCCTTATGGGCAAGGAAGCGATTTTCTTCACCTAAATTCCAGGAGGTCATAAATGTATCGGGTGTCAGGGCTGCCATGGAACCAGGGGCCTGTTCGGCTTCCTGGGGTGTTACAGAGTATTTGTTAAATCTAGCTAACAAAATATATATTGTGTGTTTGAGTGGTCCAGACGCTACACTGTGTTGTATCATTCATTTGGTGAATAATGATTTGTTTACTTGCGGTTAGTTTTGGGCTTTGATGCAAACAAGAAGAGAATAAGAGTATCTGAGTGTGATGATAACCAAAATAAGTGACAGTAATGATTGTAAATTTTGGGATAAAAGCCCTGAAAGAGTGTTTCATAATTTGCTTGTACTCTACCATTAAACAATTTGGTGTTTTAATTATATTTGTAAGAAACCTCTTATGCTCATCAAGGCTGCATTTATTTGATCAAAGATAGAGTACAACACTATTATTATTTTCACTACCCCGTGTTTTACATACCTTCACCACAAATATAATGAAGCGCCAACGCACAAATTACTTTTTTTTCTCTTCTCTCAGTCTCTAAAAAAGAGGTCAAATAGGGCGTATCTTACAAAGTCACAGGTCACAGACATAATCAGGTATCCTGTCTACCGTGGAATGTTTATCGAATCTGTTGAGATAATGAACCTAACCTCCTGTATCACAAGCATAGCATGTTTAAGATGCCTGTAGGAATAATATCTCGTTTTTATATTAAATGACTGTGCAAGGTTACAACTAACAAAGCTGGTCTGTGTTAGAAGGGTTATGTATTATGTGTAGCTATTAGACTGAGCTCTTGTATTACGTGTCTAAATGCCCTCCTTTCTTATTCAATCCACACACACATAGTACACACAGAGTGAAGCGGAGCCAAATGAGTGAGCAAACACTGCTTCTAGTATAATAATTTCCTGGTAATGCTCTCCAGGTATTGCAGCACCTTGTGAGGAAGATCTCATTTGTTTACTTTGAGGTAGGAAGTATTCCTCATGGGAATGTAAATGCATTTTTTTTTTTTTGTAAATGTGCAGGTTTAATAAAAATTATTTAAAAATTAGACCACAAAATCCAGGGCCTGTTAACAGGAAGAAAGGAGTTTTAGCGAGAAATCAATATTTTTATGATGTGTACATTCATGATGTCATACTGAGTGATTCACTATGGTCTGACCTGCGTAATCGCAGTGCAGATATCACTGTGCTGCATCACTTTGAATTTCTTTTATTACACCCTTCTTTTATATGTTTTTTTAGTGTTATGTACCTTTTCTGATAAATTGGTCTGTGAGTCATTTCTGGGAAAAAGGAAGCAAACTATAACGATTTTAGGATACGTGTTGTCAAACAGGATCAACAGGTTTATACTTCTTGCATTTCCACATTAAATAATTCAGCCAAAAATGTGGTCATTTGGTCATCGTTTATTCACTGACTCTCATGACATTCCATGACTTTCTTTCATCGAAAACGGACTGAGAAATGGTCAGTCTTTTTCACGCAATTACAATGAATGATTACCGCAGCTTTCAGGCTTCAAAACGGATGCAAAAGCATCATAAAAGTGTCATAAAAGCCATAATAAAATATCATAAAAGTTTTATGAAGCTGTATGATATCTTTGAAAGGTTAACAGACCGTTTGTGTGATAATTCATTCATCACTGGCAGTTAACTGTTGCAAACTGGATCAGCTAAATTCCTGAATGAATAATTCAGACCAGTTTTGTTATCTGGATCAACTGATTCATTCAAAATTTCAGAATGATTCATTCTTAAATTGGGTTGTGCTACTTTCCTCACGAACTCTCGAATGCACCAAGGAAAGCTAGTGCACATGTCAAGATTTTAAAGGAATAACGGAATAAGATTTGTCATAGACCATTTCTTTCATTCTGTCATTTTTAAACCTTGAGAGCCCGCAGGATATTCTTCATAAATTTGTCTCGCAAACAAAAGCAAAAGCAAGTCATTAGTGTGACTAAATTAATTTTCATTCTTGGGTGACCTTCGTTAGTGATCAATGTCACAATGCTCCTCCAAATCGCTCTGGCAGAGAAATCTTGAGTGACTTTTCTTTGTTTGAAATTGTGAAGCATGTGTTGTGTACGAAGGTGAGTTTTAAGCATGTGTGGAAACCCGTTACTGCTGTGGTAATTATTGCTGCCTTTTGGTATTGCCCAAGGGCTTTGTTGTTCAGTTAATATGATCAGAAAACATGCGTTAGTGCTTTTGAGAGACCGAGCATGTGTTTGGGATGGCGGGAGTGAAGTTATTGTGAAACAAAGACCCAGGTGACCATGAACGGTCCGTGTGCATAATATAAATCCAATTAGTGTCTCTCCATATGCGGATTGTGTGTGTGTAAGAGAGAGAGTGGATATGCTATATCAGTGGGGTTAATTCAGTTCAAGGGCAAGAAGGTCCTGCTTGTGCAAAAACCCAAAATCTTCAAAATACCAAAACAGACGCTTTTTACCCAAGTAGCACTTGTGTCCAAATGATGGTGTCTTGTTTGAATGTGCGAACATTCATTTGCGTTTCAGTCTGTGTTCTCTCAAAACTGTCACGCTTTCAACACTCACTTTAGAGAGCATATGGGTCCTATTTGACTTGCATTTCCTCTGTAATACTGATATAATGTGAAAATGTATTCATT